TTGAATAAACAAAATGTGATAAACCAGAGGATATTCATTGTGAAAGGGAAGAAAATTATGACATAGGCTTGAAAACATTAAGTGAAATAAGTCAGTCAAAAAGACAAATACAGCTGGGTACTGATGGCTCATGCCTGTAATCTTAGCTACTCAAGAGGCTGAGATCTGAGGATTGTGGTTCAAAACCAGCCAGGAGAGGAAAGTCTGTGAGACTTATTCCAATTAACAATCTAAAAGCTGGAAGTGGAGCTATGGCTCAAGTGGTACAGTGCTAGCCTTGAGAAAAAAAGCTTAGTGGTAGTGCCCAGGCCTTGAGTTCAAGCCCCAGAACCAGGAAAAAAGAAAAAGAAACAGCAAATACAATATGAATCCAATTATATAAAGAATGTAGAGCAGCCAAATTCACCAAGTACCAAGGAGTGTTGAATGGGAAAAAAGGTAATGTTAAACATACATGGAGTTACAGTTGTGGGAGCTAAAAACCTTCTAAAGATGAATGATGGTAAAGGTTGCCTAACAGCCCTAACTGCCACAGAATTGCATACTTAAAAAATGATTACAGGGGCTGGGAAGGTGGCTTAGTGGTAGAGCGCTTGCCTTGCATGCCTGAGGCCCTGGGTTCGATTCCTCAGCACAACATAAGCAAAAAGAAAAAAGCAAGAAGTGGCGCTGTGGCTCTAGTGGTAGAGCGCTAGCCTTGAGCTGAAGAGCTGAGGGACAGCGCCCAGGCCCAGAGTTCAGGCCCCACGACCGGACCCCTCCCCCCAAAATGATTACAATGGTAAAATGATTAAAATTACAAATCTATAATTTAAAAAACGAAAAGCTGTCAAATTTAAACTATTTCTACTATTTTTTATGTATTAAGTATGAGTTTCTGATGTAAAGTATGATCATAGATTATTTTTTTCCAATGTAAAGTATGGCCAGTGATTTTTAAATGGTCTTGTCTGCATCAATACACATGAGGATAATTAGACAGTTGTAACATATTTCTAAATAATTAGTGAATAAGCAAAATTTCTTCAAATTAATGTCTTAACTACCTACTCAAACAAAATATCACATACTTTTCTAATGTAGAAAGTTATTTAATATTTAGAGTTGACTTTTTATTTTCTTCGTTTTTCTCAAATCTTCAATAAAGGCATAAATTTTAGCTTTGTGTACTGACCCTGACTCATAAATCTCTTGCTTCTCTGTCAGTTTAATACTGCTATTTCACCAGAGTTTGCAAACAGTTCAAGTCTAAAATATGTAAATAATATTCAGACATGAGCTGGAGATTTAAAACAAAACAAGAAAAAACGTCAAGAGGAAGATGGCCTCCTTCAAAATATCTGGATTAATAAACATATGGAAAACAGTTAAATGACAATTATTGCTTTAAAAAGATAGAAATGAGTTAGGCAACAGTGGCTCATGCCTGTAATCCTAGCTATTCAAGAGGCTGAGATCTGAGGACTGCAATTTGAAGGCAGCCAGAGAAGTTAAGTCTGTGAGACTCTGAGACTCTGATCTCAAATCAAATACCATGGTTCAAGTGGTAGAGCACTAGCTGTGAGTAAAGAAGATCCTGAACTGGGTTTCACACAAACAAAACAAAACAAGACAAAATTTAGAAATGAACAATCCTAATTAAGCAGCTCAATGAAAGGAGTGTATTCATGGAAAACCAATTAACTGTATATTAATACTTTGGCTGGGGATTTGCATTAAAATATTTTTATTATTTGTCTATTTTTGCAGATCCTCAAGACTCAATTTCCTATTGAAAAATAACCAACAACAAAAAAAAAATCAAAGAGAGATAGGGGAATGAGTCAAGTTATAGAACATCTGCTTAGCTAAGTGTAAAGCCCTGAGTTCATGCCACAATTCTGAAAAAAAAAAGGAAAAATAAAAAGATGTGCTTTTTTAGAAGGAGTAAACTGCAAATACTTGTCATATGTGAAGAGCTATAGTTATATAACTCAAAGACAAAAAAACTGAACCAACATTAAAAAATATGCTTTATGATATTTGCCTTTACTTTTCATATTCTCTACCTCAAATTTTCAAGCACAGGTAAATGGTTAAAAGTATAACAAAAGATGTAATTTACATATAACACCATGTTGCTATGTACCTTGAATCATCTGATATAAATTTTTGAATAGTAAGTGTAACTATAAAATTTTTCTCTTATGCAAAATAATGTGATAGATGACATATGTAATATAAGAAAGGCCCTGGGTTTATTACCAGTACTGGAATAAAAAGAGAAGAATTACAGACTACTTTATTATCAGAAAACACAACTTCAATGAATAAAACATGTACATAACAAATATATTTATGTGTTGTAAGTGTGCTATTTATTAGATAATAAATGTTATTTAATGGCATTTTCATTATTTTTCATGTTATAAACATTATTAGATCTAAATATCTGTATTTCATGTAAGATCATTTCTGAATTATAAATTTATAATTTAGTATAAAGATTATTGTGCATTATGCATTCTGATCATTTTCTGATTGGAATTAATTTATGTGCTCATAGCAAATTTTAGGTGCAAGAAATATAAGTTTTAGTTACATAAGAGCGAAGTAAAACTGCATTTTCTGGAGACCACATTAAATAAAAACATATTATCTCAAGAAACTGTATGCAATCAGTATGGAATATCTCAAGTTTGAGTATCAGATAAATACAAAGAACTGAATGTCTTTTCAAAACTAAACTGTTACCTAACTTATAAAAGGAAATGTCATTTTACTCATAAAAAACTAAAAGTATTTAATGAGAAACTTAATTTTGAGGTTATATATTTTTAGTCTATCATCAAGACATTAAATTTTTATTTGTTAGAGCTTTAAATGTCATGGAACAGTATCATTTATTTTATTTAGAATGTAAAGTTTGATTCTAATTTTAAGCTTCTATTTCCCTTATGTTCTTAAATTAATTCATACAAATTCCTGATTAATAATAAAAGGGCTTGCCATCAGTATTCAAAGCCTAGCCCAAGTTGTCATGGCTGAGAGGGCAGAAATCTGCTTGGAGCAAAAAGAGAACCCAACTGAATTCTTGGTGTCTCAGTCTATGAATGTGTAAGTACTTCATCTGTTCATGGAAACACAATGTTCTGGCAGGCTGTGAGTAAAAGTAGCTGCATGGGCAACAAAGTGGAAGGGCTGGGAAGCAGTACTACATCAAAGTACTTAATGCTAGAAACAATAAATTTTGTAAGTGCTCCTTTTATTTCTATAAAAAAAAAAGGTGATATTTACTGTAAGCTACTTGTGTTCTAGATACTTATTACATCCTTACTACTACCTCAGAGGAGCCTGTGTAGAGGCTGCATATGATTTGACTTTTAGGATCATTTTATGAGAGAAAAATTGTAAATGAGAAAATAATACAAGCATATGAAAATTGCTTATCCTCCTTTTTTGGTCGTACTTTTCCCTTCTTAAATCTATTGGCAAAAATTCTCTACCAGACCTGACTTCTACTTGGAAGAAACACACTTATATATGTCCTCAACTGTAAAATGAAAATACTATCTACTTTAAAGGATTATTGTGAAAATGATAGAGTAATAAGTAAAAGTGCTCTCTAAAAATGTAAAACATACTTTGTAAAGCTTTTGTTATTTAAAAGTCAGATGTATCAATATGATTAGGGATCACATAGTATACTCAATATACTTGCTAGTAAAAAACCAGACCTTGAAAAGTCTTTCATTCATATTAATAATCAAAAATGGCGTTGTTAAATGGCAACTCCTCTATACAACTACTTAAAGATAATAAAATATTTTTTAAAAAGTGTAGCCAAAGAAGCTGACATTTAACAATAGTTTATTATGCATGTACAATTCATGTATGGTTTATATATATTAACTCATTTATCTTCAAAATGATCCTGAAGTACTATTATTATCTCCATTGACATACTAAGGAACTGAGGCACAGAGTAAACTTGATAGAAGTCACACAGGAAGTAACTGTGCTTGAACTTGAATTCATGTACTCCAGGTCTTTACCATTACACTATACTCTATTTACTCATTGATTAATTAATCAAACATTTAGTGACTATATGGTATGTACCAAGAACTCTGACAGAAAGATTTTTTCCATTTTACCATTTTCAGAAAGCTATTAGAGGAAATGGTCCCTCCCAAACAAGGAAATAAGTAGTAAGAAAAAAAGCTACTAGAAAAGACACTTTATTCAAAGTAGAGAAATAAACACTACAAGACAAGGATATGTGATCTAGAAATAAGCAAATCTTCCTAAGAGAGGAAGAGATATATATTACTTAAGAAGCTTGGTGTGATGGTATATGCCTGTCATCTCACATATTGCGGGAAGACTCAGTGGATTTGAGTGCAGGCACAGGTACAGGCAAAAAACAATCAGTGAAAAAACACTGGAGTTATGAATCAGTGGTAGAGGACCTGCCTAGTAATCATGAGGCCCTACGTTCAAATTCTAGTACTCTCCCCAAAAATTAAAATGAAGTATTTCATTGTGGTCAAGTTTTAGCTGCTAATTTTACAGCATAGGTAGAAATGAGATGGATACAGATGTACCTTCAATGGGTGACATTGTCTCATACAGATATTCTAATATACTCTTAACCATATTGTATTTTGGGGTATAGTTCAGAGGTCTACCATTTAGAAAAAGTGATTAATGCAGAACAACAAACCACAAGGTAAGAGAAACTAATGTATTTTTAAAACCTAAAAGGATGTAACATTTAACAGAAATCAATATAATAGAGTATGAGGGGCTGGGAAGGTGGCTCAGTGGTAGAGTGCTTGCCTTGCATGCATGAGGCCCTGGGTTCCATTCCTCAGCATTACATAAGCAGAAAATGCCGGAAGTGGCGCCGTGGCTCAAGTGGTAGAGCACTAGCCTTGAGCTGAAGAGCTGAGGGACAGCAACCAGACCCAGAGTTCAGGCCCCACGACTGGCAAAAAAAATAGAGCATGATTTCGTACCTCTTCATCTCTCATATTCACTTCCACATTTTTTGATTTGATGGCTTTGGTTATATGGTCAATGTTGTTTTCCCTGCAGTAATCAAATATGTTTTTGTCTTCTTCCCTAATTAGAGTAAAAACAAAGTGTTAGTCTCACAAGATAAACAAATTTTTAACAAAACCTATTTGCTGCTAAAATAATAGGATCTGATTTTTAAAAATTTACATGAAGAATAGATTTGTACTAGATTTATGTCCAACATCCAATAAGACTAAAGTTCTTAGCAACTATAATTATAGACTTGTAGTAGATTATACCCATTATCCAATTATAGGTAACTACATTATAAACAGACGAAAACCGCCTCTGCTTTAACAAGTTACACTAGGATACCCAATCAAAACTGCAGGTTTTCCTATGCCTTTCCTCCAATTACTTTTATAAACTCATTAGTACATACTTCCCATCAGGTTATTCAACTTGTATATCAGGCTAACAGAATAAATGGTTACTCAGCTTAAAAAAGTATCTTTATATATAAAGTAACTTTCTTAAAGGAAAGATTAAAAAAGGTATGATTCAGAAATATTTTATGAGGCAGTAGAATTAAGGACTGGGAACAAATCATGGAAAGTATACTATGTATCCAGCACTATCAGAAGTACACTGCATGTGCTCATTTACTTAATCTTTAATTCAACTTCACTCTATAGGCAAGGAAACATTAAATACAAATGCTCTTAACATGAAGTTTATGCACTGTCTAAAATAGCATTCAGAATTACCTTTCTGATGAATGGGGACTTTTCCTGGGTTTTGGGGAGGGGGCAAAAATATCTCCAACAAGATTTTCAAATGGATCAGTGACTCCAAAAAATTAATATTTTGGAATATTATAATAAAGCTTTCACATATATGGACTAAATTTTTTTAATTTCAGGCAGTTTATTTCAGTGATGTAGACTAAATCATATGAATAAGTACAGAATGTATTCTGAGTTCCAAAAATTAAAGCAGTATTATTTTATTGTATTTTGGCAGCACTAGGGATCTCAGGGCTTTGCACTTGCTAGGTAAGTATTCTACCACTAAGCCACAACTCCAGCATCTTTTTGCACTGGCTATATTTGAGAAAGGATCTGGCTTTATCTCAGGCTGCTTTGAAATTTGATATTCCTACTTACGCTTTCCTGTGTTGTTGGGATGACAGACGTGTCACTGTACCCAACCACTAATTGTAAACTTTTATGATAGTGCTAACCTGAAACCATGATCCTTGATCTCTGTCCTCCCAAGTAGCCAGGATTATTATATAGGCTTGAGCCACTATAAACACTTTAAACTATATAAACAGAGACACACACACTTATATATATATATATATATATATATATATATAATTTTATGTATGCATATGTTTATACACACATGTATATATACACATATACATGCATACATACATATATATTTTTTGGGGGGGTGCCATACTGAGCCCCTGATGAGTTTAGGGCCTGGAGCTCTCGCTTAGCTTTTTCACTCAAGGGTGTCACTCTACCACTTGAGCCACAGCATTTCTGGCTTTTTTGCTGGTTAATTGGAGTCTTGGGGATTTTTCTTCCTACGCAGATTGTGGTGCTTCAAACCATGATTCTCAGATCTCAGCCTCCTGAGTAGTTAGGATTACCAGTGCCCAGCTAAACTGGAAGGTGACAGCAACCATTCACCAAAAAACAAAAGCAAAAACCACTGCCCACAGGAGTTTACTGTAAAAAACCAACTAAGCAATAGGTGTGGTATAAAAAGTTATTTTCATCAATCATCTGAGCTTTAAGTATTCTGTAGTTTTTTTTGAGCACCTGCTCAAAATACAAGACATTGTGCAAGATTCTTCTAATAACAGACATAAGGCAAAGAAAGAATGCCATCAGTACACAAACATCATTTTGGTATAATATAATTTATATGTCATTAACATAAGGCAAGACTTGATCTTTCAAAAAGGACTGTAAAAGAACAGAAGAGAAAATAGTCTGCTCGAAGTTGAAGTTGGGGTAAGGAAGAAATCACTTTTAATTTGAAGATATCCTGGTTTGCAGATGTGAAATTGTGTTTCCCAGTCAGTCACTCTGTAAAGGCTATATGAAAGACTGAAGCCAAAATCCAGGAAAGGGAAAGTTTTTCTTTTGAAATCAAGGCTCCATTTAATACTACTTTAGCCACCATCAAAACACTTTCTGTTAAAGAGTACATTTAAATTTTGAGTGTGGGAATAATAGGGATCAATTTTCATTAACATGTAATTAAGAAAGAAAGGACCATGGTTGTTTTAGGTCATAACAAAAAACACTACACACCAATTGTTTTGAACTTGAAAATAATGGGGATTAGGAAGAACACGGTTGAAAAATTTGAAAATTAGTTTGGCTAGAAAAGGGTATGTGTAAAGCTGGTTCCAAGGAAGGTGTGGCTGCTGAAGAGAGAATGTTGAAAGGGGTAACACTGATCAAGATGTACTGTGTTCATAAACTGCTCTGTTAAATGACAACTCCTTTGTAGACTACTTAAATATAGTCATAATTAAAAAAAAAAACAAAACACAGCTGGGTGCTGGCAACTCATGCCTGTAGTCCTAGATACTCACAAGGCTGATACCTGAGGATTGTGTTTCAAAAGGAGCCCAGGCAGGAAAGTCCATGAGACTCTATCTCCAAATAATCACAAAAAGCTGGAATTGGAGCTGTAACTCAAGTGGTAGAAATGCTAACCTTGGGCACAAAAGCTCACGGGACAGCACTCACATCCTGAATTTAATCCCCGGACCAGTGCACATGTGCACACGTGTGCACACACACACATGTACACACAAAAATCAAAGAGAAGAGAAGAGAAAAGAGAAGCAAAGCGAAGAGAAGCAGGTGATGTTTATCTGTAATCTCAGTATCTAGAGGCTGAGGCAAGAGAACTTGAGGCTTATGGTGAGTTTCAGGCCAAACTGGGCTACATAGCAAGATTTTGTCTCAAAAAACAAAATTAAACCCCAAAACAACAACAAAATCCCCAAAACAAAATATATTGAAAAAAACAAAAAACAACCAAACAAAAAAGAAACAGGCATGGTGAGACATAGCCAGTCTCACAATTGAGTAGAAACAGGATGATCACAGTAAGGCTAGACTGCACAAAACACAAAACTCTCTTTGAAAAACAAACTAAGAGCAAAAAAGACATGGGGGCATTGTTCAAGTGGTAGAATGCTTGCCCAGCAAGTTTGAGGCCCTGAGCTGCTCTCGCGCGCCAAACACACACACACACACACACACACACACACACACACACACACACACACACACACACACACACACACACACACACACACACACACACACACACACATTTTGTACCAGCATAATAGGAAAGGTGTCTTGAGGATATCTCAGTAATTAGCCAGATCTTACCTACTGCAGACTCTAAGATGTAAACTGTAATAAGCCTTTCATTTGAGGAGAGTTCCTGCTTACACAGGACCACCTATTTAATTATCTCCCTACTAATCCTGTCCTGTGGTCGGCCACGCAGGCATTCAAAGACTGCTACAGCCATGACCAAGGGGTCCCGGCTCTATTCTTGCTGGTAGGAGAACTAGGCATCAGCCATATAGTGCTAACATTGGCATTCAACCATTATAGGATCACGGATACTTCCAACCCAGATTCAAAGGAATGCCCGTAAACCCAGGCAATGGGTGGCAAGATCAGAGAAGGTGATGTGAGAAGCTATGAAAGTGAAGCAAAAGCTTCAGTAGAGATACCAGAAGATTAAGAGATGTGTGGAATGTCTGCAAGGAAAGCCATACACAATAAGCCAATCCAAGAAAGTGGCCATATCTGCTAACGCCAACAAGGCCATAGAGGTGGGCCTGCCCAGACCTACTGGAGCTCACACCCTGTCACATGTGACACCAGACCTGGAACCATAGGATTTACTGTTTTCCCTTCTAGATTTCAGTCTTGCTTTGATCTGATCTTTTCTTGGTATTTTATTCCTCTCTTTTGGAATGGGAATGTTTAGCCCTACTGCTTGTTTTGTTTTAAAAAATTTTTTATAGGGTCTTGCAGCTGTTTGCCTTGAGTAGAAGAGGACGCTTTTAACTTGGATATTTAAGATATACTAGAACTGCTAAGATTTTGGGGACTCTTGGTAATAAATGCATTTTGCATTATCAGAATAACATAAGACTTTGGGGAAGGGCAGAGCAGAATGTTATGAAGTATTTGCCCCCAAAGGTTCATATGCTGAAGTCTTGGTTCCCAACTAGCAGTAGGACTGAAAGGTTATTGGATTAACCACTGTTGAGTGCAAATTCAAGTTGAATAGGTTATTCAGCTATGGGACCTAGATGGAGTAACTACATCACTGGAGCATGCTTTTGAAGGGTAAATATTGTCTCAACCCTTCTCTTCTTGTTGTCTCTGCTTCCTGGCTACCAAGAGGTGAGTAGTTTCTCTGCCACATACTCCTGCAGATGTGACGTTCTACTTCACCACAGGCCCACAGCAATGGAACAAGCTGACCATCAACTGAAACCTCTGCAACTCTGAGCCAAAATGAATCTCTTCTAAGCTGTTTGTTCAGGTTTGTTTTATCATAATGAAAGAAGGCAGATTGACATAGCATTCTTTCATCCAATCAAAATAGGAAAACACAGCCCTGCTCATTTCTAAAAATGCTATTTAGGCCATTTTCTATATAGACCATATTTTCCTATTAAAAGAATATTTCAATTATGTTTCTTGGAAAACCACATAAAGTTCATTTAACTATTACTTGTACCTGACTAGTTCAGAAATCTTGGTAACAGGTACATTTAACAAAAGGTTTACATTCAATTCATATAATTATCAAACAACTAAAAATTGATGTAAAACACTATATTTCATTAAACAGACAATGGATAAGTATTTGCCGACCAAATTAAAACCCAGAGTGACAAAGTCAATATCGATAAAGATTAAGCAAATACAATTATTTGCTCAATAGAAGGACTCTGGTATACACAAAGACCTTTAAATGGATTTGCAGGTATGGATAATTTTATTTTTAATTTTTTTTGGTCGGTTGTGGGG